CTTTGGGTGGGTGTGGGGGGGGGGAACCAAGAACAACCCACAACACAAACCCCAAAACAAAACAAACAAACCCCCAAACAACTGGCAGTTAATTCTGAAAGTATATTGGCCTTTTTGGTTGTGGGGTTTTTTTTTTGGGGGGGGAGTGCGTGCACGCACGCAGTATTGCCTCTCTGCTTCTGAATGCTGCCCTCAGGAATGCTGGGCTCTAGCAGATGGTGATGTAGGAGTGGAAGAAGCCTGGTACTTTCTAGGCAGATATTCCTGCGAGCAGGAGCGCAGCTCCCCCGCCCTCACTTGGAAATACAGCAGGTCTTCAGAGCTTGGTGCTGCCAAGAAAGGCAGCAGGAGCAGCCCTGTGGTACTGGGCACGAAAAATGCCTGTGTCAGGGTAGGGGAACCATGCCACCAGCTAAATGTAACGGTACCTTGGTGGGGTAGTTGTGTCAGTCCATGCAGGGCGTTGCTTCACCCTGCTGTGACTCTTGGCCACCCAACTTTGCCACATGTGCAGGTCTTGTCCGGCACCTTCCTGGTTAGTTGGTGGCTGTAGGTTTGGATGGCTGGGAACGGGTGGGGTACCTTTTTGAGCTTAAAGAATTGCCAGCCTCTCTCTCTGGGGTGATCCATGAGCTTTCTGAAGAGCCAGTAGGTGGTTTAAAGTAAGTTATTGGATGAAGACATTATTAAAAGGCATGTAAAGGTAAGATTTGTTTTTTTTAATTTTGCATCTCTGTGCTGCTCTTGTTTCTTGCTGCCTTAAGTCATATTTTAATTTTTTTTTTTTTAAGTAACTTTTTTTCTGTGCCATTAGAATGACTTGGCTGCTTCAGAAAGGATTCTGCTTGCAGCAGTCATTCTAGCTGGTCCATGGGCAATAGTTAAGATACTCTGGGTTGGCTTCAGGTGTCCCTAGCAATGCAGGTGCTGCGGTCGGGCTTGGGGTTTTTTGCACTGGTCTCCAGCTTAGTGGGGTGACAGTTACTTGTGGCAGTCACTGTCCTGCCTTTTCCACACCCCAAGAGATTGCCAACTCACCCTTACAAGAGGCCAGTTAAGACACTCTGTCCTTCAGGAAAAGGTGCAAGTGGGACTCAGGCAGGACTTCAGTGCTAACACCTGCTCAGGGGCTGAGCTGTTGTCACAGCAGGTATAAATCCTGATTTAATTTTTTGAAAGAGCACACCAGCTTCTATCTCCATCACAGAGCTAAGCAGCTGTGCCAGCTTTTGTTGTGTGCTGGTCATTGCAAATCCTGTTCTCCCCCTCCTAAGACAGGAGGAAAATAAATATGGTTCTTGTATCAATTCATTACTGAGCCCATTAAGTTGCTGTAACTAACTCATTACCAGAGGCTCCTTCTCTTGTCAACTGTTCACTCACAGGCATGAGGTGCTGCTGAGCTTCCTGCAAGTGGTTTTTTTTGCCAAGCCCCATGTCTGTTTCTCCCTTTGTTAGCCAATCCTGGCCTGCCTCTCCTCCTTTGCCCCTCACACCTCCTCCTTTCCTTCTGGCCAAAGGGCCAAGTTTATCATCCTGCACTGCAACCTGCACAGCCTTTGCCCAAGCACAACTCTGCCCAGGTTAGGAACTATTTCGCAGTCCTGCTTGCTCCCACACCAGACTCCTACCGCCCCAGTTACAATAACCACAGTTATACACCTCTTGCCTATTTATACAATAAGCACTAAGGTTACACTTTATTTACAACTTTTGAAAAATGTACAGTTTCTTACATGGGTTACTTGTGCAAAGTTAAACTTCTCAACTAACAGACCAATGTGCACACAAAAGACAGTGGACAACACAATTGTAGGTTTCATCCCACACTGCTGCTTAAGGTACTGTATCCAAATGTACAAACTTAGCCGTACAAAAAAAAGTGAGTCCGGACTTACAAATGTTTGGGGGTTTTTTTTCAGAGTTGAAAAAAATACTTTCATAAAACTGAAGGGAAACTAACTCAAGCATGCAGCAGTAGCTCACACAAACCACAGAGTAATCTACAAAGAGCAGAAACTGCAGAGACTCAAGTGCCTACCCTGTACTTTATTCAAAATTTCCACAAGGCAAAGTTGGATCCCCAAGAACTTATCTTTCTCAGCTAAAGATAAGGGGCAGGAAAGAGACACTGAAGGAGAGTCATTCCACCACTGGAACACTTCAGGTTCTACCTCTTCCTTAATGTGGAAGGTCTTTTGCTCAGAGTACCACAGTTCTACCTGGTTTTGTCCAGTAACGCCTCAGTGACAGGACTATAGAAACTTACTGAAGCAGTCTCTGTAGGCATGTCCTTTAAAATAAAATAAAAAAAGGGGTTGTTTCTCACCCTAAGCAAAGGTAAAGTACCACAACTGTAGTGATTTATGTATATCTGTACATAAATCTTGCATGTGAAGTGCAGAGTAACTAGCATTCCACAGTCTTACTATTTGAATTGGAATCAATTTAAGAGTTGGGATTTTTTTTTTTTCCCTCAATGAATAAGGAGTTGATAAACCGATACAAAAGGGAAACAAGGTTATTTCTTCACTCAGTACTTACAAATGCAGTGGGGTCTAAACCAATAGTAGAGGTAAATGACCAGCCTGGACAGATCAGCACTTTAGTTAATATCAGTTAAAAAAATGTGTATGTATATAAACATCCCTTTTATCAAGCTACACATAAGCATCACTGTGTATAACACAATTACAATTAAAAGCTTAGTGTACACTACAGAAATGCACAATACTGCCCTAAGACTGGAGAAGGACCACAGAAAATGAATTCAGCATCAGTAACTCTTTTGCAAGTAACCCAAGTACAGAACATTTGACTTCAAAGTGGGTGCTTTCTGATGTCCGAGGAGAAGCTTCAGCAAGGGAGGGTGGCAACAGCACAACAGCTATTCTGCTTTCAAAGTAAATGCTAGGAGGAAAAAGATGACTCAGACACTTTATTTTCCTCATCAGAGTGTTCATTTGCATCGTCCTGGGTCAACAGTCACGCCAGCTCTGTTCTACTATTGCAGAAACCCGTTTTTCATATTCCCGCTTATTCTCTTGGTATAGCTGAGCTGCCTGGCTGTTTGCTGGACTGTTAGGGTTTGGCTCATCCAATAGAGACTGCGCAAAGAGAAAAAGGTTCTTAGGCACTTGAAAGTAAGCACACTTTTCCAACACGTTCCTTCAACTATCCATAGTAGTAAGAATGCAGAAGTTAATCTAGATACAGGTACGGTCCATGGCATTAGGCCAGCTGTAAGTTATAAGAAGCTTTTGCTATCGGTCTTGCTCTTAGCAGTGCAGGTGGCTGTTTAATTGACCCAAGCAGGGCAATCCCTGGGTTGGCCCCTTCAGGGACCACCTGCTGTCACTGTCTAGTCAGTTTACATCCGGGATGTATTCATACTGTAGATAACATCAGCACGTAGCTGCTATACTGGCTATTGGGAGAAGAAAAAAAAAAAAAATGTGTTTCCTGAGCTGTTTTTGTCAAAGCATCCTAATTTCATTCTGCCTTTTCATGCAGAGTTCTCTTTACCTGTATGGATGTTAAGATGGAGGAGACATCGTAAGTAGGACTCCAACGATTCTGAAGAATATCCAGACATATACTACCATCTGCATAGACTAGAAAAGGTTTAAGAAGAATGGCTTAAAACAGAAGTACAGCGACTCAGGTTTTTTTTCCTAGTATTGCCTGATCCTGAAAACCGACACACTGACAAACGCTACACAGGTCAGTAGTGTCTGACAGACTTAAATCCAGCAAACAAGCCTGTAGATAGGATGAGGTGAAGCTTGTCACCACCAGTTGCCCGAGGTATTTAAACTCAACCCCTGCTTATTCATCAACATCAAGCTTCTCTGTGATGTTTCAACTACCACTATGGAAAACCATGAGTAGATTTTAAGGCAAAAAAGTTTAAGCTACCCACAAGTGAACCAAATAAAGGACACGAGCAAAAAGCTGTTTACACGTAAGGTCTCCCCAGAAAGTATCTGCTCCGGTCCATGTCTAGTCACCTCTCTTATGGCAGCTTTAGAAGAACCTTCCCTCAATGCACTTTACCCACACATGTTTCTTACTGCATTTGAAAGTTTCCAGTGTTTCTTCACAAAGCTAATGTTTGTTTGGAGGCAAGGAATACATCTCCAACCTCTGATTACCAAGGAAGGGGATTAATTAATAACAATCTTACTATCACTGGCTACAGTTGGAAACTAGCACTGCATTTCAAGGTGTATCATTCTTACAGGCATTTTTGGGAAGAGAAGTGATAAAAGAAAACTGCATTCAGCAGTGTCATCATGCTGCAGATGCAATACGTACAGAAAAAAGTCCAAGGCGCTGCTATTTAAGTATAAAATATTCCTCTATAAGGTTTAACAGCAGGCAGCTGAGAGAGCAGAACATCTCATCAATACTGTGCTGTACCACTGAAAGGTAGGAGGCTCCTTTTATTGCCCCTTGCATTTCAGGCCTGAGCACTGCGCACATACTCATCCTTACCAAAACTACATAGAACCACACTGGAATTTTTATAGCTTATTAAATAGTGGAAACTTTTATAATAAATAGACCTTTTTCTACAGCATTATAGCAAGCCATAACTAAAAAAAAAAACCCCAAAAAAACCACCAAACAAAATGAGCATTGTGTAAGTACTTACCATTTGGATGAAACATTTTAGAGACAAATCTAACAGTAGGTGGCTTATTCGGATATTCTTCTGTGAATTCTATTGTCAGTTTGAAAGTTCCTGGAGTTGAAAGACATAAGTAACCCTTATTCAGAATGAATTTACACAAGTAGCATCCCTCCACAAGCACAAACCGATACTATTGTGCTCATGCAAGCATGTTGGATATGGAATACAGATTGCTCAGTCCTACAATGATTCTTCTACAGTCTTTGGAGTTAATGATTAACTCTGAAGTGCTGGACAGTACTGGTATGAGAGTATCTCCTGTGACTTACTTCTATTGTCAAAACCACCACCCCAGTCAAAAGGTTTGTTTAAGGAAATAAATCCGCCCTGAGGTTTTCTTCCACAAAGCCTAATCCCAGTGCACTGTAAAAACAACACAAGTGGGTGTACAACCATCTGTGTAACAAGCCATGATTTAGCAAGCCCTAGAGACTGGAATATGCTATCACGACAAGGACCTTCTTATTTATTTCCTGTTTACATTTCAAGAAAATACATTTTTAATCAACAATTGTAACGTAATCAGGTCTTATTGTAGAAAAGTAGTATTGAAAGCAGCATCTAAATCAGACACTTTAAAAATCAGATCATTTACTTTAACTAGTCTTCCTTTGAGAAAGGCTGATTAAGCAGAAACAGAAACCTCTGTAGTTGAGTCCCAATCCAATCATTTTAACAGCCTGCACCAACAGAAGTTATTTTAGCCCTTCTCCTCAGGCTATGACAATCTGAGAAGTAGTCTGTCAACAAAACTGCATAAATACAAGTCCAAGGGACTAAGCACTGTTAGTGATTCAGATCAGTAATAAGGAACTCTACATACTCCACTTCCAAACATACAAGTTTCTCTACCAGGCTATTGCTGCAGACCAACCAATCTGGGAGGCAGTTTATCAAGTTCCTGGGTATGGCCAGAGAGAAATATCTGAAGCACCTTCATATAAATATACACCTCTCCTGTAAAAGGAATGCTCCTTACAGTAAAAGCTGTAACAAGCTGCCAGGGCAGATGCATTACCTGCTTTGAAAAGGCATTCTTACATATCAGTGACAGGTTTCACCACCACCACCACCACTCAGTGCCCAAATTAAAACTCAGGTACTCAGATATAAAGCTCATCCTGGCTTCCCACTGTGAGGGAGTTTTCCAGCACTAATATAATTAATGTATTCCTTCATTTGGCTGGCAAACGTGTCAACAACTGGTAGCCAGAGAACAGATTTTTCAACCCCTTTTCCTTTTTTGCAGATCAGAGAGGACCTGCAGTATTTCCCTGGGGACTCCTTCCTTTAAAAGGACATAAACTGTAACATTGAGTTGCAAGAAATGAAGGTCATTGCTTTGACGTTCCAGATTGCATGTGAAGACGGAGTACAGATCCTTCGGAGCTTTCCATACAGCAGTGGGAAGTCTCAACATCCTAAAAATAAGTTTTTGCACAATTGTTTTTTATTAGCAGCCTAACAATGTACACACAGAGAGCCAACAGTATGCTATCTTACTGTAAAAGAAAAGAACAAGAGTAGTATAGTTAAGATTGTTCAAATTAATGTAAGTCTGCAGTGGGGCTTTCAAGCTTTACTCCAGCTAATCCAGAGGCACAGAGCCAGACCTGAGATCAGTTTGAAAGCCAGCACTGGGAAGTCAATAACAACTTCTACCAGCTGCAAACATCAGCTCAGGACTACCTCTCCTTCCCTAC